CTTCCTCTTTGAGCATGCAAGCTTAACCCATAAAATGGTTTTCAGCAAGAGCACTGCAGGTTCCAGGTTGACTGTACCCTGGTGGCTTCCATACAAAAATCACCTGACAAACAAAATGACAAGTTTGTTTAGGGGTTTTTTTCCAGCTGCAGACTCAAGTCTGGGAACTGAAAGCAAAGATTTGAGCTCTTTTCATCACCCCAAACACCACCTGGCATGTAATCTTGGCATGCTGGAGATGTACATGCTATGGGTACACTGGTTGCATGCTCGTGGGTACGTGGGGTACATGCTGTGCTGCCATGGATATGTGAATTGCACACTGTGGGTATAAGCGGTGCAAGCCATGGGTATGCAGGGGGCACACTGTGAGTATACAGCTTGGGTGCACACGATGGGTATATAAGGTCCACACCATCGGATATACAGGGTGCACACCGTCAGTATGCAGGGTGCACACTGTGAGTACGCTGCCTGAGTCCCACTCAACCAAGGTTACCTGCAACAGTTCAGAAGCCACAGTGAGACTCGATGCCTGAGACAACGGACAGAGCACGCAGTCAGCAGTTAGAGGTAAACCCCTCTCCTCTTTAACTAATCCAACACGATGCTGCAGCAGGGTAAGGAGCAGGCACCCAGCTGCACAAGCCGGGCTGACTCAGCTAGGAGTGACCTGGCTATGTTGGTTGAAGCCAGGTAACGGGGAAAAACCCGTGGTGTGATAACTATTCTATGATGTCATGTGGACCCAGCCGGGGAGCAAAGCCCAAGGGCCGGCTGGTCATGCACCGCCCCGGAGACCTCCGTTCCAGCGTGACTGCAGGGTATTTGGACAGTGGTTGCTCAACCAAGTGGCACAGGGCCAGGGGCTGACGGGCCAGCTCGAGGTCTCTGCAGCAAGGCCAGGGTGACTCAGCATGATTTGGGGGAGGAAAATGGTGGAGAAAGTCTAAAGGAAGAGAGACCCAGCCCATGTGTGACAGCACCCAGAGGTTCTAGGACCCCCCATGCTGAGAGCTGCAATGGGTGCTGGGCCACACGATAGAAAGCAGGACACATTAAAACCTCAAAACCAGGCTGTTTCAGAAGCAGTAAGAAGGCTGCACATCCCCAGCCCTGTTCTCTGCCCCCAGCACCCTGCATGAGGGATGTCCCCTGCCATGGGGATGCTGCAAATGGCAGCAGAGTCTTCCCAAGGAGTCACTCACAGCACAGTCTTTGCCCTCCCCACACCACAGAGAGCTGTTGTCTCTGGGCATCATGCAGAAAGCAGTGCTGGTGGTTTGTCTCTTTGAAATGAAGCAGTCTCCTCCAGGCAGCATCACTTCAAAACCTGTCCCATGCTCTTAAGAGCACACTAGGGCTGAGTCGGTGAGGGTGCTCATGGTGGGAGCCTCAGCCATAATGTCCTCCCCATACCCGGAATGGTTGTCAACCTTACACCAACCTAAAGAATGTCTTTTGCTGTACACTTGGGATGTGAACTCCTGCTGTGCATTACATGGCTGCCACAGGCCAGCTTGAAGACACTTGCATTTAAAGGGTGAATGAATTAACTTGCTATAGTCAAAGAAAAACTCACTTGACACCACTGAGCAGAAGAAACCCAAGGTGCACATTCAGTCTCTGTGGAAGAGGTCACTTTGAATTGAGATGTCCCGGCCCTGTCCCTAGTACAACACTGTGAGTACTGGATGTCAAAGACACCCTCTTGCAAGGAGAAAACAATGATGCTAATTCAGAGTTGCCTTTTCCAGGAGCCTCTTATGGAGAGTTGGACCATGCTTGGGTGCTGGGTGGATGGCTGGCCTTGCTTTCTGCCCAGGAGGGCTCCTCAGGACAAACCTGCCCTTGTGGACAGAGCTAAGCTATGAGGAAAGACAATCCATCAACAGGTCCCTCCTCTCTCCATCGACAGCTTTGCCCAGATGCATTGCAGAAGCTGAACACCCCATGCTGTCATCTCTGCACTGCAAAGAGAAGGCAAAGGGAAGATGCTGTGTGGGAAGAAGCTATAATGAACAGTTGTTTTTCCCTGGCTCTCTCCTATGTAAACACCCAGAGAACACCTTGAATCATCAGCAGCTACCAGATAAACTCCAAAGCAAGCAAGACAGAATGAGAAATAGAGGAGGGAAAATAACCCATCCATTAAAGAGGCGGGAGGATGGAGAGGCAAAGCTTTATGCAAGGTGTAAGTCTAGAAAAGCTACAGCTGCTGGTAAGAGGAGGTGGTTACTCATACCACCTAATTTGAAGCAAAAGCCTTTGTGTGCAGTGGGAAAAGAGGGTTCCTAGCTTCTACTGGCTGCGAAGCGTGAAGTTATTAGCGGTGCATACAAGGACTTTCCAAGCGAAGATGCGTTTGCACAGATGTAGACCCTTCTGTTTTAGTTAAAAGAACATCCTCAGTTCCCTTCCTCAATCCCATGTCCTACCGAGCACACGCACAATCCTCAGAGCCTCCATCTGCAACAAAACCTTGACGCAAGCACCTCTGACCTACAGACACAAATCCATTTATCGCCAGGCCTGGAGGCTGGACAAAGAGGAGCGGTGTCTCAGAGCTGGGTGCCAGGGCCACTCTCTGATTCAGCAAAGCCCTTGATAAGAAATGTCATCCTCCATTGAGTAATTTTAGAACACAAGATAAGAATCTCTATCAGGCTCAAACATATGGCTGGCTGCAGAGCACGCAGCAAAATGAGACGGGTAATTTATTTGCTTGTGCTAAGAGCACTCCCAGACTCAGAAAAGCTGATGCAATGAAATAATAAACGCCAAATTACACTCCATCCTTCTTTGGAAAGATACAAGGGCTTGTACATCTCTCCTCCATGCATCAAGCCACCAAGGAGACAATAACAGTATACAACTAATGAAGATGGGGCTGTCTGGGATTTTCTAAGGTCTGTTCCTCTTAAATCCTACTTGCTACACAGGAACTTGTACCCACAGGTATTACTGGTGCTTTACGAACTGCCAATAGATGCTCTCCAGGGAAGGAAAAGGAGGGGTTAAGTGACAGAATTACACAGGAACGGCTGAACTCCAGTCTCCTGAGAGAAGCTCTTGCTGACAGAGCAGGACCATCAGTCCACTCAGTGCTGCAATGTTCCTCTGTCAAATCCAACTTAGCACCTCTGATTTAGGTGACCTGGGCTAATCCACATAAACATGACACTGGGCAAGACAATGCCTGACTTAGGTTGCTCAGAGTAACAAACTCGCTGACCTGAGCTTTGACAGGAGCATCCGATCCATAGGGATAACTCAAGGACACCCCCAAGGAATTCTTAGCACATTTAACCACTGCTTACTGGGAGGACCTGCTGGGGAAGGCTCTCCCCTAGAGAGCTGTTTTCTTACCATCTTTCCTCTCTTGGTTATCATCAAGGGAGATATCAAACTCTCTCTGTACAGCTACTTCTATTCCCTCTCATCTTCAACACCATGGCTACTGTTCAACGTGTATCACGCGATTTCACGCCATCCCTTTTCAATGGGAGAATTTCATTCTCAAACTGATTAACATCCAAATGTCCACTCTGAAACAGAAACTCACACTTAGCTTGCAAATATCTCAAATTGATGCTTCCAAAGAACTGGGCCAGACCCAGATTTTGAAAGCATCCTTCCTCTCTCTCTGATTCAAACCCACTGTAGAGATGTAGAAGACACGTACTTGGTCATAAACAGTCTCTACATTGATGTGAAATCAGTGTTGCTTCCTGGCCAGTAGTACCTTCCCATCACGAGATCTACCCATGTCAATGGCATTCTCACTGGAAATATCAGCAGTTAAACCAACATCTGAATGAGTCACGGAGATTATAAACTTCTTGCTAATACTAAGAGATGGTCCTTCCATCTGCGCTGAGACATGGAGTGACAGTGATGGGGAGACCTCTGATCTGCAAAAAATCAGGGGATTTAAAACTCACTGGAGTTCAATTCAGCATTTTCCATCACTGCCAGATTTATTAGGGAACGTTAACATGACAATACAGGTCTACATGCACATGCTGGCATGGCCTTCATCATTGCCATCATGTCAACATGTAACCTCAGAATAAGAGTCTGATGAACACTTTCCACTCTCACCACCATACAGCCTTTACATGAACCAGCCAGACTGCATGACATGCAGCAGAGCAAAGCCACATGTCCCTCATGCCCATTGAGTTGTATTGCTAGAAGAGACCAAGCTTAAGACATCCCTCTGGCCAGCCTTCTCCTGGCCAGCCCTCTTCTCCGAGGAACGCTTAGAGTGCTTCAGAGCCCAGGGCACAACAAGCAAGGACCCACACATGTTTATGAGGAAAAGCATTTGCAGCAGGACAAAAGCTAAAAAAGAAATCAAGCTTCAGCTTTCTTTTCTGCAACCAATGCTTTTCAGTTCTCCAAAGATGATAAATTGAAAACAGGTAATTTTGCTGTTTTTTCCAGCTCCTGTCTCTCTCCTCTTGTGGCTTTGGATTGAGGCAGTGCAATACATACACCCATTTATTTCAGCTCTCTTCGTGTATCATCAGTTTGGAAAATACTACTGTGCTCTGGAGCTGCAAACAGTGCAGGTGAGTGTGAGGCTTGTCATCCTCACTTCCAAAAATAAAGCAGCAAGTTCTTCTGGCATAAAGTAAAGGCACAAAGATTTCTCCAGAAGCAATGCGTTTAATGTGTATGGGTGTGACAAATAGATGCTTGAAAAGATAAGTCTCAGATACGTGGAGAAGTAAAACTGTAGAGTTTTGCTGATCATTTTTACATGAAGCCAGCTCAAGCGTCTGCTGGCCTCTGCAATTGGCTCTGCAGAGGCAGGCATGGGTGACATAGGACACGGGAAGAGGACAGGGGAGAAGGATGGAGGTTGGGAGCAAAAAGAGAAACTACTTGATCAAAAATCAATGCCTGGACTCATCTCCCTTTTTGCCTGATGGATATTTGACTGGGATAGGAAGGAGAGAAAATGTCTGGGTGGTTTGGGTTGTTATTATTACCTTGTTATGACACTGCAGTCCCATTCTGGAGGTCAGGAAGATGCCTTGTATCACCACCTCTCCTCCTTCCTCCTGTATCTTCCCTTCTGCATATTCCTCTTGGACAATATCCTCTCTAAAATGAGAGCCAGACTCCAGTCTTTTCTCCTTCTAAATGCTCCCAACAGCAACACAACATTGATTCTAGTTACTTGTGCGAAGCAGCCAACTTCGTCCTTTCTCCTTGTGTGATACTGGAGATACAAACTTAAGCTCCCCTGCCCCCAAGGACCAGGGGAGGGCAAGTTCAGAAAGCCTTTTGAAATACTGTAATCCAAGTGAAACTGCAGATCATCAGGCTCCATCATCCCAACTGTGGATGCACCTGTAAGGAAAACACAATTTTAATATCTGGATAGGGATAGACTGACAAATGTTCAGGTTTTATACATGATTTCTGTTAGTATTATAAGAATAATGTCTGGTTCACCCTTCATGGGATACCCTGACCCTGCAGTATTGATGGAAGAATACCTTGCTCATGCCTACAAATTCAGCCAACAGAAGGTAGTACTCAGAGATGAACAAGGGGTTGGATTAGATGACTTTTGAAGGTCCCTTCCAACCCAAGCTCTATGATTCTATGTCAAAGCTGAAAAACCCCAGTTCTATCATTGGAGAGTTTCATGACCTTTTTTTCCCCATTATAAATGAGTGGGGGGAAAAAAGAAGATAAAAACCCTGACATTTTGAAGATTGTTAAATTCAAACCAGCTTTGATCTGAAGCACTTTGTTTCAACAGTTGGAAATTTTCCCTTTGGTGTCATTAACTTTTACACTTTTCACTGTAACTTGCTTTAGAAACAAAGAGTCATTTCAAATACAAATGCAGCTGGAAAGTTTAGGTACTGTCAGAGGCAAACCCTCTCCAAAATTTTACTCTCCCCCAAAAGGAGGATTTATTGAAGCTGTCTCTCTCCTGAGGGTTCACTGAACTTCATCATGGTGGCATACTGGTGAAAAATTCCCGGTCAGTTCAAATGCCAACAAAGGAAACACCGAGCTACTTTATCAAATTAAATGACTTTAATACACAATGCAGTACAGTTACTTCTACATGTGAATTCTATCCTAAAACCATTTTAGTGCTCAACTGAAGATTCAGATAGATTCATATAGAGTAGTATGTCTAAATTCATATAGATTAGTATGTCTATTCATATAGACTATGTTCATATTAGTATGTCTGTTCATATAGTATCTTCATATAGACTAGTATGTCTAGATTCATATAGATTCATATAGACTAGAATCTTCATATAAGCTTCATATAGACTAGTAAAATTACTACACTGTGTGTTTGTTAATACTAATGTGGCATTGATCCATGGATGCAAAAGACTGGTCCAGTGACGAGACAGGAAAACACCCAAAAATCAGCCCTAGATTAAATTCTAAGTTTGTCAAAACTAGCAGTTTTTTGTGCACAGTGACAAAGAGAAACACGGTAGATAGATGGGAATTGTAAGCCCTCAGTCATGAGGGTGCTAATACCACCCACAACTCCAGAGATGGGTTTTTGTGACCATCTCTTGCTGCTTTCCGTATTCACACGTCAAGCGTTTATATGCTTCTCTTGCTCCAAGACCTGTTGTGCTGTTTCTGGGCCTGCCTCTCTAAATGCCACACATAGACGTACCAAGTCACTGTAGGCTCCTCTTGGGTCATACAACATTATTCGTCACATCCATCTCCATCCTGCAAAACACTTTCCCAGGCTTGCTCCCTGCCTGTAACCACACATACTTGATGGCCCATGCTTGCCCAGGTCATGGTGCTGTGTGTGTCATGCATTGGAAGGGAAGAAACATAAATAGGATGAGATCTTCACCTTTGGGCCATTCATCTCACCTACCACATCAACGTCTCCTCTCCACTGAAGTCCTTTGTTACATCCCAACCACATGCTTCCACCTTCTTCCCGATTTTAACATGCACAGCCTGCAACATCACCTCACCACCCCTGCAAGGAGATGACACACTAGCCCTAATTTTGGGTGATGAGTTCCTTTCTTTTGTGGCTGCCAAGTACCTTTCAAGACGAGGTGTGCACATCATTGCTTTACAGTGAGCAACACAAACTGCTCTGCTCTGAAGACATGTGCTCTGTGACGTGCAGAAGTCGTTGAGGAAGAGGGAGAAAGAGCAGTGTGCTGTGAGGAGCTGCAGCACACACTAGGGCTGGGGACATACTGGAAGGGCTGTGACCATAAAACGAGGGCTTGCAATGTGCAGCCTAGAAAGAGACTGCATGGCACAGGGCATCTGGAATTGCAGTGTTACCCTCAGGCTGCCAATGATATTCCTCAAGGCAGGGCACAATGCCGACACAGTGATATTAAAAGCACAGCTTCCAGTAGCACCCTAGCTGCCCAAAGCCCTGGCACGAGGCAGTGGAGCTGTCCCAAAGCTGACCCTCCCTGGGAGGAACACCACATGCTGAGAATCCTGGCAGGGGGATTAGCAAGGCAGTGTTGAAGTGCTAAACACGGATACAACCGGGGAGTGGAACAGCTTCCCGCAAATGGGGACAGGCAGGAATATCTTTTCACACATCAGTCTCTGTACAAGCGGAACTTGTCCTGTTCTTGGCTGAAATCAATGTTCAGATGGACAGTGTTCTCGTCCACATGGCTGAGGTGCAGCAGCACACATAGACAGTGACGTGTAACCAGGCAAACCTGGGGCACAGTACTTACGATTACACGCTAGACTACCTCCAAACACTCTATCTGAATGGTAAAAGCAAGAATAATTTGGGTTACAGTCTGGAGTGCCTTCCTCTCCACAGCTCCTCAGCAGCTGGATGTCCCTTCTTCTGCCACTACCTGATTCCTGCACCACTTGTAAATTAGCATCACACATAGCAGCAGGCAGCAAAATGCACCTGCAGGGCTGCTGAAGGCACTGACTTCAACAGTGGCTTAAGCAGATGTGCTAAGGAAACATCTGGATGTTACTACCAACAGGCTTTCCAGGTTGCCATTCAGATCAACACCTCTGTTTCCCCTGAGTTATTATAAATACGTAAGAAACAACATAAAATTGATAGTAAAAGCACCACAATTGGAAATACAGCCAACCCTCTGTGTCTAACATCTAGAAATACACTGACCCAAACCCTCCAGGGGGGCACTCAACCCATGACTCTCAAGCAAAGGGTTTGGTGCTACACTTAGTAGCCAGCAACAACAGGTCTGGCTGGCACAGGACTTGCAGGTTAACCAACTCCATGGATAATTTCCATGGGAGAAAGCAATCCATTAGAGCTGAAGAGTTCAAAAAAACCTGCAGGACTCTGGAGCCCAGTGGCATGCAGTCTATCCTGTCCCACCAAGCACTGGAGATACATCTCAGTGTTATTTCCCTGTTGGGAACAACTTGCCTTCCCCCCAGCTCTGTGGAATACCTTCCTAGCAACTCTCAGCTATATTAAGATTTTTGACATGTGGCTGGTACAGTGAGAAATGTTGAACTGAAACTCCTTTCAGAATACAAACCAAGGGAAAAATACATCAAAAAGACTAATGAGATGTTTGGCGCATAAAAGAAATGGCTACATGGAAACTTTTCAAACACACAAGACCTACAGGACTGGCTGAGGTAAGAGGTATAATTAGCCCAACATGAGCTTCAAGGCAGGTCCGCAATGCTTGGCCATACAAATGAGGGATGTCACGTACCAGCAGAGAGGCCCTGTTATCTTTGGGCCTTGGGTTGGCACGGCCGATGGGAGTGTGAGGTTTTAATACTTGTACCCACACTTCAAGAAAAATGCTGGAAAAACTGGAGTGAGTTCAGAGGACAGCCACAAGAACAAAACCAGGCTTGTACTGAGGAGCTCAAGGAAGTCAATCAAAGAGAAAGTTAAAAGGTACCTCGCAGCCTGTAAGTACCTGTCAGGAAGAGTGCTCTTCAGCCTACCAGACACAGGCATAACAAGACCAAAGGTTGAAAGTTGAAGCTCGGCAGAAAACAAACTAGAAACAAAGGTACCGTTTTCCAATGCTGCAGGTAATTAACAAAAGGAAAAGTGCTGCAACTGGCATGGCCAGTGATCCAGCACTGGCAATTCTTAGAGTGAGATTGGATTCCACCCCAAAAACGCACATCTGGGTCCATCCACAACCGCTGAACCCAGGGTGGAAACTAATTCAAGGAATCTCTGTTATACAGCAGGTCAGACTAAGCAAGCACCATGACCTTAAAACCCAAAAATTAATGCGGTACAAAGAACAGAGGCCAAATTATCAGTGGTTGGGCCCTTACAGCCCCAGAGATCCCTGCTGCATTTGCAGTTCAACCTACACCTCATCACTATCAAGATGTGGGTTTTGCTGAAGAGCAACAAAAGCACCAGATTCCCACCATGAGCAGCTAAGTGAGATGCTGTTACAACAAGACACCCACACTGATACTTTGTTTTCCAGCTAGAGAACTAGGAAAAATCAGAACCAGACCAAAACAAGTAAAAACATTCCACTGATGGGGCAGAAACAAAGCACAATATAGGAAATTAGCTTTTTACAGTGAGAAAAATCATATCCTGGAACAACCTCCCTGGGGAAGTGATGGAGTCCCCATCACTGGAGGTTTTCGAGATGGACAAGGTGTTAGATAATCTCACCTAGGTTACCCTTCCCACGACATGTTGGACCTGATGAACTTTCAAGATCTCTTCCAATCTGGGCTGGTCTATGACTCTATAAAAAGCACACGAAACTCTCCTGACTAGAGGCACTTGAGCTAAAGGAAAAAAGCTCCCAACTCCGAAACACCCATTAATGTTAATCATATTTAGGATTCCAGGTTTCCTTTGTACTTATCAACTTCAGAATTTACACATCTGCTGGGCTCTCCTAAGCCTCAAAAGCATGTCCCAGGATGCAGCCCCTTACTGCATCTTCCCTTAAGACAGCTGAAAAGTGCTAAGGATGTAAATGCCCTGGTCCAGCCCTTCTTGCAAGCAGAAAGCAAATCATAGTTCCTGGCTGGTTTGTATGAATTTTTCATCATCACGATGTTGGTTTATGGTTGTGAATTTCCAATACTTTCCTTCACCCCTGTTTCTTCTTCCTTCAGAGCTTAAAATGTGCAACCCCACCCACTGTCAGAGCAATAGCATTAAGAGAGTAAACTAACCTACTGCTCCCTAAGAAACCAGGAGACTGCAGTCAAACCCAGCCTCCTTCAGCTCTGGACCTGCACATAGCTGAAAAAGGCTGAGAGACCTAGGGATGGGGATGAACTTTTGGGGCTGCAAAGCATGGGAATCAATTCCTAAGACTTCAAGGACCACTGAGTCACCCAGGCTGAATCTTGCA